AAATATTTATATTTAAACAAATATGTAATTGTTACAGCAATAAATATTACTATTACTAATAAATAATACTATTACTATTACTATATATATATATATATATATATATATATATATATATATATATATATATATATATATATATATATATATATATATATATATATATATATATATATATATATATATATATATATATATATATATATATATATATATATATATACATATATATATATATATATATATATATATATATATATATATATATATATATATATATATATATATATATGTATATATATATGTATATATATATATATATATATATATATATATATATATATATATATATATATATATATATATATATATATATATATATATATATATATATATATATATATATATATATATATATATATATATATATATATATATATATATATATATATATATATGTATAAATATAAATATATATATATATATATATATATATATATATATATATATATATATATATATATATATATATATATATATATATATATATCTATATATATATATATATATATATATATATATATATATATATATATATATATATATATATATATATATATATATATATATATATATATATATATATATATATATATATATACTCTTGCATGTCTCTTGCATGGCATCAAAAAAAGTTTCCCATAAACTGTAGTTTTAAAGAGCGCGTTAATAAACCAGACGACAAAAAGTTTTAAAAATTAAAATTTTTTTTTTAATTTATAGTCTGCCTGGCCAAACCAAACCCTAAGTCGATGTAGCAGCACTCTCTTGCGAGTCAGGCTATTTGTCAGTTGTAGCAGCACTCCCTTGCGAGTCAGGCTATTTGTCAGTCGATGTAGCAGCATTCCCTTGCGAGTCAGGTTATTTGTCAGTCGATGTAGCAGCACTCCGTTGCGAGTCAGGCTGTTTGTCAGTCGATGTAGCAGCACTCCGTTGCGAGTCAGGATATTTGTCAGTCGATGTAGCAGCACTCCGTTGCGAGTCAGGCTATAAGATAATCGATGTAGCAACATTTACGCATGTTTTAAAAATGTTTTTTTATTAAATCAATAACAAAAACACCACTAATTAAAAAAAACTTTCTAGTCGTTTTAATTGCGGTTTTTAAAAAAATTTTTAAAAAACAATTAATTTTAATGTACGTCCGCATAAATTAAATGCTTTGACATTTCGATGACAATCAAAAACAAATTTTTTATTTACATTCACTCCCAACAAGACTGCAAGCAACCACTATCAAGTTGGGAGTTACTAGGAAAAAAAAGAACAGAGTTATAGAGCAAGGAAACAGTTGACAGAAGACTTGAAAAGTTGATGGTTGTATGAGTTAAGAAAACATGAAGATGGGAGAGAGTTCCAAAGGATTGAAGTGCGGTGAAAAAAACTAGATGAATAAAAGTTTTTAGAGCATGCAGGGACAGATACAGTAAACGAATGAGACTTAGCTGAATGACGAGTAAAACGAGAATGAATTTTAGTTGATGGAACTAGAGATAATAACTCCTTTGAGCAGTGACCATGATAGTATCTGTAGAAAATAGAAAGAGATGCAACTTTACGACGATGGGAAAGAGGTTCAAGCTTAGCAGATAGTCCAGGTCCAACAACATTTACAATGCGTTTTAGGACCTTGTCAAGAAAAGAAAGTGAATCGTAAGAAGAGCCAACCTAATTATGACAACAGTATTCCATACAGGGATGAAAAAGAGATTTGTAGAGGTAGAGAATGGAATCAGAAGTAAGAAAATGGCGAGCACGATAAAGAGAAGCAACCTTACCAGAAGCTAATTTAGCAATCGATTGTATATATGGTTTCCATGAAAGGTCAGTAGTAAGTGATAATCCAAGACAACGTAAAGAGGAGGACTCAGTAAGTGGATTACCATTTATTAATATAGGAATGTTGACAATATTACAGTTTGCAGTAAACAACAGGGTTTTTTTAGAGTTGAAATTCACAAGCCACTGTGAACCCCAATCTATTATTGAAGTGAGATCGGATTCAAGATCAGCTGCTTGTTCAAGGCGATCAAAAAGAGAAGACTTTTTGTCAAGACAGGAATATAAAGTTAAGTTATCAGCAAAAAGAGCTACTTTAGATGAAAGGTTTTTAGGAAGATCGTTTAAGTAGATAAGAAACAAAACAGGGCCCAGGATGGAACCTTGGGGAACCCCAGAAGTTACTGGAAAACTAAGAAGAGTGTTGGCCTTCAAGACCAACACTCTTCTTTTTTTCCAGTATTTATAATGTTATTTCCACTCTTCTATATATCTATTTATATATATATATATATATATATATATATATATATATATATATATATATATATATATATATATATATATATAATATATATATATATATATATATATATATATATATATATATATATATATATATATATATATATATATATATATATATATCTTTATATAATAATACTGAACTTAATAGTAGTAGTACCCTTTCGAGCACGTTTGACATAATACCCAACGCAGCCATTGCAACCGAGGTACTGGCGAGGAAGAGTCGCAGCACCTTTTTATAAGAAAACATTAACGAAAGTGTGTGCTAATAACTAACTTACGTAAACTTCAAAATGCGAAATGTCAAAACATACTAAAACATGTATCAAGTTTTTAAGTTTTACTTTCACTTGAAAACTGCATTGCGGCAACATCTCCTTAAATTTTGACCGATAGCTGTTTTATAAAGTTTTTCGTTAAGTATATATTTTTAAAAATGTCTCTCTTTTAGAAATTGGTAGGACGGCGTAGCTTCGTGGACAGCTTGCTGAGCTATTAAACAGGGGAGCCAGGGTTCAACTCCCGTGCGTGGAACTCTTTCTTTTAATCTTTTTTGATTTTTTTTTAAAATACAAAACTAATCACTTTTGAAGATGTATAGAGATTATATACTTAACAAATATAAAAGTATTTTACACTTAAACAAACAAAAGGAAGAGAATTTTTAAAGAAAGCTTAAAAGTTCTAAAAACGTCAAAAAACAGGAGAAATTTGTTGCGCTTATTTGTCATGTTATTTTAGTTTTACATTTTAAGTTTTCTCCAACTAAGTTGAGATTATGCAAGAAAAATGGGTATATAACATGTATATATAGAATATAAAATCTATAAAACTATAAAGTGCATTTAAAAAAAAAAAGCAAGCTGATGAACTTGCCACGCGGCGACCTAAAATTTTTTTAAAACAGTAAGGGGGTTTTAAAAGTATATTTTTATTAAAAGAATAATTCAAAAATTTAAGTTTAGATTTAAAATAAATTATTTTATTAAATTTATTATTTTTTAAAATGAAAAAAAAGTTGAAACTATCTGATATCAAAGTAATAAAAAATATTTAGAGTTTTACAGCTACTTTACTACGCCCCAATTAAATATTATTAACCGAGTGCGCAACAATGACAGAATTAAGAAAACCATCAAAATAGTATGATACTCCGTATAATATTGGAAGAGTCAACTCGAACGCTTATAGCTGATCTGAACTGAACTGCATGAGGCATTGTAAAATGTGTACACAAGATTTTTGTATTTCTTGAAATGACATATTATCTTCTATTATTATTGTCATAAATGATATAGTTATTGTTGTCATAAATTGTTGTCATAAATAGTATAATTATTGAATATACTTATATAAATAGTATGTATTTTTTAATCTGTTTTTAAAATTACTGAACTTTAAATTTCTAATGTTTTACATAATGAAACATTCTGTTTTATAGGTGTTGCATTGATTTTTGACAGGCTGATAATTTTATACAAGCTAAAGACGACCATTTTTTAAATATAAGTAAGTTTTTTTTTTGTTTTTTTTTATTGGTTTTGAATAATTTTATGTAAAATATTCAATTGTGTTTTATTTGAATCTAAGTATTTAGTAAAGTGTTATTGTGTGTATGTGTTAAGTGTTACAAAATATTGTTAGTTAATTAAAATTAAATAACAATATTTTGTTTGGTATTTTAATTTTAGTGCCACAGGTTATAACATATTGTAGGTTTTAATTTCTAATTTTTCTTCATCTTTAAAACTGATTAAGAAAAACATTATTTTTTGCTAATGTGATTGTGTTATTCTATTTTATGAGATATTTTACTAATAATTTGATTGCTCTAAATTATATTTACTTTTTCGATATTTATTTTAGCCAATTAAGTTGTAACAATCTCTGCAAGATTAAAATTAGGTTTTATAATTAAGTATGAAATTAAAATATCGTTTAGCAATTTCAATAAGAATAAGGATGTGGGCCCTTATCAATTGAGATAAGAGCCCACATCCTATAGTGTACATAGAGTGTGGGCCCAGAACAAGAAAAAAAGGTTTCCCCTTATTAAAGAGGAAGAGAATACTCTTATCTAAAGTTGTTGAAAAGATGTACATCCTGTTTCTACACTAAACACCATCAATATTTTAGTCAGCAGAACATGCAAAATATTAAAATAATTTGCTGCTGTGGCCGTGTTTATGATTCTCCGTGTCAGAATAATACTTTATTTTCAGTTTAGATTTTGTGAATACTTTAAATTGCAGTTAATAATTATTATAATAATCAACAATAATCATTGAATTAGGGGGTATCTAATAAGTACTTACAATAAATTTGTGAAAGAACTTCAAAATTGCTTTTTCACTCTGTATGTTTTTAATCGATAAGTCTATTTGTTCATTGATGTGTCCTTATCTGTTATTTTTTTAAATAAGAGGTTCTTATTTTTAATAAAAAGAAATATTCTTTTATTGTTGTTGTTTGTTTGTTTGTTTTTATAATTTTACCTTTTCTCATGATGGTAGAGTTATTTTTCATGTTTAACTGCATTTTAATTTAGTTGAATTTTATTTTTTTCTTTAGTTTTACTTTAGTGCTCTACCAACAATCATAAATTTACTTTATCTACAATAAAATATGGTTTTAACTTTTGTCATTTAAACTTTACTATGTTGATCATTACCTAATAGTGTAAAAAAAAAATTAGTACGTCGCAATCAAGGTTAGAATAATTTTTTTTTCTATTCTGTTGCTGTTTGTTTACAAACATTAAATACTTTTTAGTTTTCAGGTTTTTTAGTTTTTCTATACATTGCAAATTAGTTTCTATGTTATTGTTAATAAATTTCTTTATTCTATTTAGAAACATTAGAAAAATCAAATGTTAAGCAAAGTGCCATTATAATACATTTCTGTTTTATTATGTCAGTTAAAAAATTTATTTATTTTTTTAATTTTTTTTTTTTTTTTTTTTTTGCTTTTACAGGATCAGTGTCAAGTAATGTGTTTTGCATACTTATGTATTTTTTGGGTGTTCTGTGTATTAAAACTGAAACATATCATCTTTATATAATAATACGGAACTCAATAGTAGTAGTTCCCTTTCGAGCACGTTTGACACAAAACCCAACGCAGCCATTGCAACCGAGGTACTGGCGAGGAAGAGTCGCAGCACCTTTTTATAAGAAAACATTAACGAAAGTGTGTGCTAATAACTAACTTACGTAAACTTCAAAATGTGAAATGTCAAAACATACTAAAACATGTATCAAGTTTTTAAGTTTTACTTTCACTTGAAAACTGCATTGCGGCAACATCTTAATTTTGATCGATGGT